TCTCTGAACCTTTGGCCTCCCCCTTCTTACACATCTGTCTCTACTGTCTCTTTGGGCTTCACGTCCACTTTGGGTCACCTCAGAGACCCATCTTTCTGTGCCTCAGTCGCCCTTCTCTCAGGTCCTAGTATCTCAGGGCTTCTGTGTCTCAGGGTCCCCTCTGTGCATGGCCTCCTCCCTGTGCTGCTTCACCGGCAGCCTCTCCACTGTCTCCTGGCTGCCCCGTCCTCTCTCCAGACCTCCCACCTGCTCAGGGCCTGTTTGCCCCCACCTCCCTGTCAGGTCACTGAGAGGTCACTTCCTGCCCTGCTCCTTCCCTCACTGCCTCCTGGCACCTGTCTTGGTGGAGGAGGCGGGGGGAGTGTGTGGCCACAGAGGACCCCTCTGTGGGGCAGCCCTACTGAGGAGAGCTGGAAGAGACGTGGCTGCCCCTGCAGCGAGGCTGTGGCCAGCACCTGGTGAGGAGCAAGAGCGCGGGGCCCCAGCCTCACTAAGGGTTCCTCACAGGTGCCATCCCAGCCACACTCGAGAAAGGGGTGGGTGTGGTGCTCTTGTTCTGTGAGGGCAGGGGAGGGGTGCAGTGGCACCTGGGCCCCAGCCCACAAATCCGAGGGGCCTTGGTGCCCTGTGAGGTGGGAGTGGTCCTTGCCCTGCAGGTGGCCAGCAGAGCCCAACCCCACGCTGGTCTGCGTCCTTTCCCTTGTCACCAACCCAAAAATTCTGTCCAGGTCTCCCCACTTAGCCTTCTGGTATCTTTTCACCTCCAGACAGGAACTGTGATCTGGAATGACACATCTTGGCACCAAATGCTTGTAAGTCCCCCACTGTAGGTGCTAGCATTGTTAAATTAGTGTTTGCACTATTTCTTTTTAAATAGTTTTTGTGGTTTGGTTTTTTGTCTTGTTTTGTTTTGTTAGTATAAGAAACCGCAGTTGCTCAGGCTGGGAAAGGAGCTAAGAAGCACAACTGCTGAGTGAGGCAGCAGTTCTGACTGGGCAGCCAGAAAAGGGAGGGTGGTGAGCAAGGGGACACGTGTGCTCCCTGGTGGCTCACAGTCTGGTTACCAAAGTCACTGCCCAGGTAGGGCTGACAGCAGGGACTTTGGTTCAGATAGAAAAGGTGCCTGAGCAGCCAGGCAAGTTGAAGCGTTTCGGGGTCTTCCCGTGCGCGTTGACTAGCCTGGTGCGAGGCCCCTCCCCTGGCCCAGCCTGTTGCTAAGGGAGAGCCCTCGTGGGAGGAGGAGGTTCTGCCTGTGGAGAGGCCAGAGGTCCTCTTGTCTGCACCCTCTGCATCGTGCTCAGTAAGACATATCTCAAATGTGATTCTGCACATTTGGTGTTAATAATAAAACAATGCACAAGATTCCAACATGTTCTCAAATGTACATATATAAGATAATCACCCGGTTCTGTATTGCAACCTTTAGCCTTAAGGAACTGCCCCGATTTCCCTGCAGACACCTTCACTCATCTCTGTGGGGAGAACTGAAGACCCCGCCCCACCGATACTGCCAACACCTCCACCCGCATTTTGCAGCCCCACACAACCTCCTTCTGCCTCTCAGTCCTTCCTGTAACAGGCCTTACTTCGCCGCCACACTTAGCTGTCTGCTCCCTGTCCTCATGGCCGCCCAACCTGCTGTGGGCGCACCCTTGGCCTGGGTGCCAGGCGGCCCCTTGCCCAGTTGTCTGGGCCTCCCAGGCCCTCCAGCCCCAGTAGTGCTGCCTCTGCACTGAAGGCTGGACTTCTTGGGCCCCTGCTCCTTTCTGGGCAGTGGCACACCTCCCCACAACCTCCTGTGCCCCTGTGCCCATCACCTTTGAGCTATGCCTCAACCTCTAGAAATTCAAACTGCCTCCTTGCAGGCCCATCTCATCTCACCTCCAGGCCAGAACCATGCCTACCTCCCCCATCCTTGACCTTCCCCCAAGTCCAATTCTCTCTCCTTTTTGAATCTCTCTTGCAGCTGCCAGGTCTGGGCCCACCTTCTGCCCAGTTCTCCTCATCCACACCTTGCCCTTCCCCTGCAGTGGCCAGTATCTCCCACAGGCTTCCTGACCCTGGCCTCATCACACAGGCCGAAACCTTAGGCTGTGAGCTCCTTTAGCCAGGTAGGAAGTGACCTCCCTGTGTTCTGACCCCTGCCCAGGGTCGGGCGCCATGCGGGGCATGCATGGAACCAGAGACACCTCAGTGCCCCCCTCCATCTCCTCAGGCCCCCATGCCCCCAGACTGGGCTTATGCCAGCCCCTTTGCCCAGTGCTGACCAGAGGAGGTAGCCTCAAGCCCCATGAGACAGCCTTGATGTGTTCTCCCTGCTTCTCCAAGGCCTGGAGACAGTCAGGTGCCAGTCACTGTGATGGTGGGGCACGGGCTGGGGTCATGACAGTGACCACTGGGGCACTGCCCTGTCATCTACCCCCTTTCCTTCTCTGTCTCAGGGCCACAATGCAGTCACATGGTGGCTTTCACCCGGCAACAGATGCACAAGTGCCTCCCCTGCCAGGACCACCCTGGTGACAGGCCCTTGCAGCAGCCCCAGCTGGGATCTGATGGCCCCAGGCACCAGGCAGACCCTTGGATGCTGTGGCAAAGGTGGCCCCAAGTCACCCGTCAAGCAGCCTTAACCAAGAAGGAAGGCAGTGGACTGGACTCTGGGCAGACAAGAGCCACGGCAATGACAGCATATAGTGTCCATGAGGCTTCTCAAGGGCTCTGTCCTAGACAGGGGTGGGGGTCTTCAGAAAGGGGTGGTCTCAGGGAAAGAGGTGGTTAGCCTCACAGGGAGTCTGTGGCTGAGGATGAAAGATAGGCAGGCAGGCTGGGGACAGACAAGACTTTATTGGAGGAAGTGATTGACGCTGGGGAGTGAGCGTCACCTACTCCCCCAGGGAGGCCCAGACAGGCTCCGGAACCCAGATGTGGCCAGGTGAAGGGGGTTTGGGGAAAAGGTGGGTGGAAAGCGCTGGTTTCCGGGGCTCCGGGCTGGAGGAGGGGCGGGAGTATTCCAGGGGGGGAGGGCGGGGCCGGGGCTGAAGGCGGGCAGGGCGGCTCAGGGGCGGGGTACCGGGAGCAAGGGCAGGCAGCCCAGTGCCGACTGGCAGACGGTACCGTAGGCTTGGGAGTAGCCCCCGAGCGCGGCCCTGGCGGCCCCCTGGGCCCCCTGCGAGGCCGAGGCACTGAACATCCTCCGGCCAGGCCGGGGCTCTGGCCGCGCCTCCCGCGGAGGCCGGTGAGAGACCTGCGCACACGTGATCCCCGTAAGGGGGTGGGAGGGGCAGAAGGGAAGCTTGGAGGGGGCTCCCCGACCGCAGCTAATTGGAGTGGGGTGGGGGGCGCGGGGGATGGGGAGGGAGGACGGGAAGGGAGGGGAGGGCGGGAGGGACGCGGGCTCACCAGTCTTGCGCCTGCTGCGCTCAGCCCTCGGCCCGGGTTCCAGT